TTTGTTGTCAGGCGTTCACCACACACGGACGCCCCAATCAAGGATAAGGGAGCATTCACCACGGCCTTTTGGAAGGATGGTAAACCCAGGAAGCGGTTGATAATTGTGAAATGCTTGTGTAACATAGTAAGGAACCGGCTGAGTATTGAGCAGCACCCGCTCTCCAGGCTGATTTGGAGACATATCTGATGGCACGGACTCTGTAACGGGGTTACATGGTGTGGAACACACAGGGGTACGGAGTTCCCGGAGAGCTAACAAACTCTCAGTACGTAAGTTGGAGAGATAACAAGATCTCTCAGTACGTTGGTTGAAAGCCACACGTTATGCATTTGATTGGGTTTAACCATGCTAGATAGTTAAACAGATACATTTACCCATATGCGGCTTGGCCGCAATAACAGTACATAAACACTTCTGGTGTTGAAGCAAGAAAGTTACGCTATTAACTTTGAGCCCTGGTCGTGGGTTGTAAGTTCCTTTGGATGAGGCACTTAGTTTATGAGCTCTTTGAGTCGAACGTCTTCCTCTGACGCTAAAGCTACGGCAGCCCCGCTGCAAACTCGATTCCGGGTGCTGGTGCGGTACTGGACGACGTTTCGTTTAATTCACTCGATGAGCGAGCTTGTGCTACAGGTTCCACCACTGTGTTTGAACTATTTTCTTCGCAAGGCTGGGTAGATGCTGGCACTTTGGACGCGCTCCTTCCACTACGATTGCCAGTGGCCTGGCGCTTGTAAAGAAAGAGGCTGCGAATTTTGCTTGAAAACCTGCTATAGTCGATCTAGAGTGAAGCTTGAATATTTGATCGACTACAAGAGAGGGGGGGATCGCGAGGAGCTTGTGGGGAGGGCTTTGAGAGCGTATGAAAAGAAGCCGGTGAGTGGAGTAGTGAAATTTGTGAAGTGGTGTAGTGCTTAATCACGACTCGTAATTTAGGAGGGATGGCTAACAAGATCGATCGTTTTGAAGGGACGCTTTGCTGCGGCTATATGTTGATGGCCTTTCATCCTAAATGAATGTCTATCTAGCCATTCGCTTAGAATGTCAAGATACGATTTACTCTTGCGTTGTAACGGGGTACGTAGCCTCAAGTGTACACCTAGTTTCATGCAGTGTGTGACGGGGTCACACAGCACCTTGCGCTAGAGGAAGTTATCTTCCGAGAGTATACAAACTCTCAGTGAATGGCAGTTCACAGGTCCCCTCTTTAATTAAAGAGAGCGAAGTGACCTAAATAAAGTAGATTGTAAACTGAGTATATTTATAGGTAGGTTAAGTTTGGGTTTAATACAAACTATAAGTTACCTATAGAAATGCAATGTCATTTGAGCGACCTTGGTACCTTGTACCAAATATCCCGGAGTATGACGTGTCATACTCCTGAAGTGTGAAGTGTCACACTTCATGTAACCAGGGTACACTTAGGGATACGTACCCCGTTACAAAGTGTGACACGTCATACTTTGGGATATCTGGTACATGGTACCAGGGTCGTCCAAGGTCAACCATTGGCTGATGAAATTGCTTTTCTAAAGGTGACTTATATTTTGTAAATTAGCTCAAGCTTTGCCTACCAATAATCACATCGTGAAACTCGAAACATGGCGCTTCGCAATTTTGGTTTGTAATCAATGAAATATTCCTTCGAATCAATTGTAAGCACTTTGGTTGGTTTGGTTTATTCTTGCTACAGTACATGGTACAGTATGAATACTGATCGAACTTCGCGGATATCACCTTGAAATACGGCCTCGTTGCCGTCGTTGTCAAAGAAGTCCATTTCAAGTCACTGCCCCCAGTCGCTGTCCGGACTTCAGATCTACGGTCACGCGCATATAACGCGTCTCCTTCATCGTGTTCTCCATCGCGTTCAGCTGCTGACAATAAGGACAATTCCATGAAGTTCGCTAACCACTTTGTGTCCATCGCCCCCCACGCCACACGCCGCTGTCATGGTAGTAAACCCCAAGGACAAGAGCTCGTCCTCCACAACGCCAGCGTCGAAAGACCGCAAGAAGAACCGAGCCAAGAGTGAGCGAGGCCCCGCCACCGACAAGAAACCGGTCCGCATCCCCCCCCCCCCCCCCCCCGCGTCAAACCTGCTGAACCGAGCTCAATTGCGTTGAGCTCAAAACTATCAATGTATCATACCGAATAATTTATATCTCCATCTTATATCGCGAGACTATGCCAGAAGAACCCTCACAGTTCATCGATATACATATAGTTTATATAAAGTGTTGCTTTCATTCATTTATCGTGTAGTTTGGGCAGCTCTTGATTGAATGCCTAGCTCAACGAGTAGCCTGGGAGTGTGGCGCGTGGTGCGAAGGTAAAGACGCCGGGCTCGTACGACTCGACGTGCGAAGCCATCTGCGCGACCGAGCAGCAGCCGCAGCAGAAGCTGAAAGCGGCGTCCTCAGCGTGCGAGCCGGGAATACTGAAGAGTGTTCGGATACGCCAGCGCAACCGCATCATGCAGAGCGCCGAGATGACAGCACACAGCCAGAAGAGAAAGTCAAAGAAGCCACTGTGAGTGGACACCGCGATAAGCGCCAATACGTAGAGGCCTCCAAAGATGCCGAGCACGTGGTAGAACGGCATCAGACCAAGACGAGCCGAGATCTGAGCCACTACCAGTCCAGGACAGCAGCAAGACGTGACACCTACACAACAGAACCAAAATTGTCAATAGATACTCGTAGCATAAGTTGCAAGATGAAGAGACCTTACCATTGGGTACAATCGAGTCTGTGAAGCCGAATAGTCCAGTCTTCCAGCGACCAGTCACAATGCCATTAGCGTCGACACCCTGAGTGCTGTTGTCACCATCAGTCATGTTAACCGTCACGTCGGCTTGCTTGGTCGGTGGCTCGAACTGCATGCTCACTGAAATGAGGCTTTCGACGCTGAGAGGAATTCGAGGAATGAATCGAGTTTCAATTGAGATCAAGTCTTACTCATCCTGCGGCTGGGGCAACGGGTACTTCACGTTCTGATCCCTAACATTAGGGCAGATTTAGAGTATTTCTGGCTAACGGTACTGTATCGCCACATTTTAATTATCTAATTTGAAGCGAAGTACAGTACTGGACATTTAAAATGTTTCAACTAATCTAACGTTATGTTGAAATTCTTGCTACATGTCAAATACAGCGAACTTTGCGGTTATCACCTTGAAATTCGGCCTCGTTCTCAGTGTCACTATCATCGTCGTCGTTGTCGAAGAAGTCCATCTCAAAGCCTGCATTCACTGCCCCCAGTCGTTGTCCAGACTCCAGATCTACGGCCACGTGCACATAACGCGTCTCGTTCATCTTGTTCTCCATCGCGTGTAGCTTCCGACGCAAGTACACGAAGCTTGCAGCGAGGACAATCGAGCAGACGACTGTCGGAGCCACAATATGGTAAAAAGTCCAATGCGCAGCCTCCATTTTAGGCGTCACCAGGGCCATCAGAAGGAATAATTGCATGTCAAACGTGCCGTGAACTAGGACAGCAGGGAGGATTACTGCCATCTTGGTACGCCATCGTCCTAGGTCCGTTTTAGCAGCGTTGGTGCCTCTCTGTTCGCTGCCACCTTGTCGGTGAGCCAGTAGCCGTTCGGCCATACGTACGCCCGTTATGCCACCACATATACAATGCAGTGGCGCGCTCGAGATACCGCGTAGAGCTGCAGTTTCCATCTTGTCGCGAAAAGTAGGGGCCAAGAGCGAGAAGGCCGAGTTTTCCATGACGGAAAAGCCCAGTGCAGCTGCAACAACCGCAAGAAACACCACGAACGCGTGGTTGGCATGTGGGCGGTGGTAGAACAGCAGTCGACTCGGATGACACATCATTCCTCGCAATGCCCCATGACGTTGTTGACGTTGCTTGAGTACCGAAAAGGCCGGGGTCGATCCACTCTTGGCTTTACAGCAACATAAGATGTTAACGCAACATCCACATCTTGAGTTGCTACAGCAACATGTGCCCTGGACGACCCAGAACTTAAGAAACTCTTCGACGAGTCCAGCTACGATAAAGGCGAAGCACAAGAGGAATACAAAGTAGCCGACAGTTTTGTCGACCTGGAGACTCATCAGCATCTTCCCTAGCTTCATGTTGTGTACTGGAGCTGGCCGGCCATCGCCTGGAGCGTCGAAATACTTGTGTAGTTGGCTCAAAATGGAGGCGCGTTGGTCGAAAAAGCATAAAGACGCCAGCAAAGGACCCAAAGTCAATTGGCCAATAAGGGCCAACACTGGGCCCATGATGGCCGCACCCAGAAACGTCCTAAAGAGCTGCTCGATCTCTCGATCTCTGTGAAAATATAACATTAGCTTTGAGTTACATGGAATATCAGAATTTCATGGACGTACGTGACGCCGTGATGTTGTTGTTGACGGAAAACCCATCGGAAGAAGACAAACACGGGTATTGACAACACGAAGAGCACTGGAAGCACTTGAATCTGGCCGAGAATCTGAAGGTTATGCGGTATTGATGACATTAATTTCGACTGGTTACGTGGACTAATGGGGATACAATGAACGGACGACGTACAGCAAGGAAGAGGGAAAAGATCAGTAGAGCCACGACGTACTGTCGCCGACTGTAGCGCTGCAGCTTGGCCAGCACGAGCATGGCGTCGACGGAGCCGATAAGGGTACACTGGAGAAAGGGGTACGCTTACGTAGCAAACATCAGCTACCTGACTAATCACATAAAAACTCATAAATATGTTGTTCCATAGGTCAACTTCAACTTGGCCATTCAATTACATTTAACGTTAGCTATTTGTTTTCTTCTACTTAGAGCTACGCTTTCTCGCAGCCCGATTCATCCGATGTGCAGAGCTGGCAGATCTGTGAAAGGTACGAGCGTTTGCAGCCGAACTCGGACTCGGCACACAGCGGACTATTCTCGTAGCACGACGGATTCAGCGCCGCCAGCTCGCTCTCCCTGGGCAGTGCACGCATGACGCCGCCGTCACTAGTCGCTGGGTTCGATGCGATCAGCGCGTCATAAGCAGACACGAGCTTCTCGACACGCTCAGAGTTGGCGGCGCTATCGCCCGGGTCAGCCCAGAAGTCGAGGCCCTCCACAAGGTCCACGACGGAGGACAGAATGCCGGTCAAGAGAGACACGACTCCGGTCACGATAGACACACTGAACTCGACCCCACCGGCCTTACAGAATTCCTTGTAGTCGGCGTATTTCTTGCCGGTCTTGGGGTTAATTATGGACGTGATACCCACCACATCATCCAGGAGAATGTAACCCAGAATCTCGTACGTAAAGGTACACGTGACGCCATCGGGCTCTACTCCGACAGGACACATGCCACCGGCATATTTCTTACGACAAGACGCGGTCTTATCGTCCCAGGCTTTCTGCGGACAGCTGTTGGGGAACGAAAACCAGTAGTTGTGTGGGTACGGAGCGATCGCCTCGTTGTCTTGCAGTGTACCGCCGACACAGAAGCCCAAGTCGGGCTGTCCATCGGCACCGATGAACTGGTTGCACACGTCAGGGAACGATCCATCGTCTGTGGGGTTGCACCGACCGCCATCCATGGGCAAGAACGGACAGCTCTCGACGGCGTAGTTGCGCTCGTCTGTGGCGTTCACGTAGTATTCCATCGCGGCGGTAGGCTGCACGGTAGTCGTTTGGTAGAACACGACGTACTTGATGTTGTTTTTGCGCTTACATTTGGTAATTACCGACGCGTTGATGCACTCGGCCTGCACGTACTTGAGGGCACCTTCCACAGACGCCATGTTGACGGTGTCCAATACGGCACGGTACTTCTCGTCGAACGTCTCGTAGTAGGAGGATACGAAGCGTTTGTGCTTCTCGTTCCAATCGGGCATGTCACCCTGCACGCGCACGCCTAACCGTGTCACCTTCTTGAAGGACGAGGCACTGGCGGCAGACGCAGAACCTGAAGCCGACGACGAAGCGGACGCAGACTCCGACGACTCCGTCGAGCCGGAAGCCGTCGTCGACGTGTTCGATGATGACGAAGAGGAGTCGATAGCGGATGAAGCTGAAGCTGATTCCTGGTTTGTGGCGGAGCTGTCCGAAGATTCTGAAGCTGAAGTCGACGTCTGCTGAGCCGAATTCGACCCATCGGAGGACTCGGACATCGTGGTCTGCTGGGTCGGAGAGTCATCTGAGGACTCAGACATCGTGGTCTGCTGGATCGGAGAATCATCAGGGGTTGAAGCCTCGCTGGCGTCGTACTGGGAAATATCATCGTCATTATCTGCGTCATCATCATCTTCGCCATGTTCGGTGGTGCCTACATCAACCTGCAGCGTCCGACTGCCGCTGCCGGCGGGCTTAAAGTCGTTCTGACCAGGGGTGCCACTCGGAGAGGAGGAAGCCGAGCTATCTGCGTCCACACCCGACGAAGTTCCCTTGCTATTAGAGCTGGAGACTGCGGGTGTGTCGCCCTTGATCGGGGTACCATTGTCATTCGGGCTATTGTCGCTGCCCGGCGACGTGGTGTCTTCGTCTAGAGAACCCTGAGCTGGGGTGGCTGTGCCCTGCGTCGTCGAATCGCCGTTGGATTGGCTGGCGGTGTTGGCACCGCTTCCCGACGTACCTGAGCTCGTCGGAGTGTAGCTTGATCCTGAGGAGGGGCCTTGAGTAACATTGCTACCTGCTGTGGAGCTGGACGTAGTGACCTGATCGGCACCACTGCCGGCAGGGCTGGGAGTAGCAGCCGGAGTCGCTGCGCTTCCCTCTGCGCTTCCTGTTGCTAAGCTAGAATCGGTCTGCTGAGTGGCATCACTGCCCGATTTCGAGCTGTAATCGATCTGCTGGGTAGCGTCGCTACCGGCGACGTCGTCGTCTTTTAAGTTGTGGCCCGGTCCATCGCTTCCACTTGTTGTGGAGCTGGAACCGGCAACCTGCTCGACGTCGCCGCCTGCGCTGGAACTGGGGGCGGACACTTGCGTAGCACCACTGCTCGATGTCGAGCTGTAGCTGGTCTGCTGGGTGGCGTCACTACCGGCACTACCGGCAACGTCGTCGCCAGTTGAGCTGTGACCCGGACCATCGCTTCCACTTGTTGTGGAGCTAGAACCGGCAACTTGCATGATGTCGCCACCTGCGCTGGAACTGGGGGCGGACACTTGCGTAGCATCACTGCTCGATGTCGAGCTGTAGCTGGTCTGCTGGGTGGCGTCACTACCGGCATTACCGGCAACATCGTCGCTAGTTGAGCTGTGGCCCGGACCATCACTTCCACTTGTTGTGGAGCTGGAACCGGCAACCTGCTTGATGTTGCCACCTGCGCTGGAACTGGGGGCGGACACTTGCGTAGCACCACTGCTCGATGTCGAGCTGTAGCTGGTCTGCTGGGTGGCGTCACTACCGGCATTACCGGCAACATCGTCGCTAGTTGAGCTGTGGCCCGGACCATCACTTCCACTGGTTGTGGAGCTGGAGCCGGCAACCTGCTTGATGTTGCCACCTGCGCTGGAACTGGGGGCGGACACTTGCGTAGCACCACTGCTCGATGTCGAGCTGTAGTCAGTCTGCTGGGTGGCGTCACTACCGGCGATTACCGGCAACGTCGTCGCCAGTTGAACTGTGGCCCGGTTCATCACTTCCACTGGTTGTGGAGCTGGAACCGGCAACCTGCTTGATGTCGCCACCTGCGCTGGAACCGGGGGCGGAAACTTGCGTGGGATCACTGCCCGGTGAGCTGGGGACCGTAGTCGTGGTCGCTGCGGGGGTGTCGGAGCTGTAGCTGTCCCCGCTATCCGCAAAGCCTGGTCCGGTTTCGCAGATCGTGTCCTTGGCTTCCACGGACACCGTGGTGACGGCCAGCGCCGCGCAGATGGCCAACCCCAAGGAGAAGACCTTCATCACTCAAGGGGCTAAGGGATAACGAGGTGGTGGCCTCAGTGCAAGAGCGGAAGTGAACATATCGGCCAGGAACCGCCGTTGCAAACTTGATCCCTGAACGTGACTGCAACGACCCATCTGTCGTCCGGGAGCACAGATCTGACGGCTGCGGGACGTTGTAGAAGATGTGCAGGATTACAGGCAAGCATTTTGTATGCAGCTGGGGATGCAAGCCGCCCAGATGTCGTCGCGACCGAAAGTTGCAGAGACCTGTCCGGTGCTAACGACTGTATGAGACTGGCATTTCGATGGCCAACCCTGTGGCACTCTATGGAGGTCCGGCTTGAGCCAGCTGGGCGTTGGGTTGTCCGCTATGTCAGCGATGGCCCCACCGACACTCCGGCTTCCGTCGTGCAGCGTCGTACAGTATACAGTGCCGTACTGGCGGCACTGCACCAAGCGATTGCTGCTGCCTGCCACTATCAATTTGTTCTATGGAGAGCTACGGATAGCATGATACTGACGCATTGATACCGTTCTTTTAAGAACGCACCGCCGGCACACTCTGCACTGAGCTTGCAGATCGATCGATAGGTAAGCTGCTAGGTCATGTGGTCGTCCTTGCTGTCAGTCTTGGTAGGTGATACTTCTTTCCTGAGACGCAATTTTGCGGTGGCCAGCATGCTATTTCTCGCCAGCGTTGTAGCAATTTGCCGCAAATTTTGCAGCGCATAACGACCACGGCGCGGGACATCTCTGAAAGGGGTTACGGACCGTTCAGAGCTGTCGTGCGAATGTGAAGGCGAGAAGCGCACAATTCGATCCATTTGATTCGAATGGAGCGAGACGCCTGACGCAAAGGTACATGTGCACACTTGTACAGTGTCCGAGGAGCGTGGTTACCAGTGGTAATACCACTGGTTACATGTAGTGCTGTTGTCATGTTGAGTTACTGTGGAATGATAGTATGATTTTGTCCGACATCTGATATTATTAAAAACAACATTTCCTTCGAGGTATTAATAATTGATGCGATCAGTGATTGAAGACTGTATTTTACTTCGTTTTATTGTGGAGGAATTAACTTTAGCTAGTACAGTACTGCACCCCGTTATCGCAGGGGTAGACCACATAGGATTTGCAAATAAATCAGATTTTAGCGTACAAACCCGTGGTTCATACGGAATCAGGCTCATCACATCCGGAATTTTATCAAAAGTCCTGGGGCGCGAAAACGGGGTGCAGTACTGTAGGTTGGATCCAAAATGGAAAAAAAAGTAGGTGCGTTTTTAAAAAATCAGTAGACTGACACCAAAAATGAGACTGCGTCAAACAAAATGTTACTTATGAACCTTTGAGAGTTATCGAGATAATCGAGCTTAAAGTTGGCCAATTGATTTTCGCACTTAACTGAAACAGATACATTTATTGTAAACTTCCATCGAAAAAACTGTAAGACCACCCTTATTCAATTGCTTTTAACAAGATTTTTTAATTTTATTTTTATAAAAAAAAATAACACTTAAATTTCTAGAATTTAAGTATCGTCATTTCGAGGGCCCATAAATGAAGATAATATTTTTGAGCGACCACAACTTCTTCAGTTTTAAGCATTCTGCAGCTTATAAGGGCTCAAAATATAGAGGAGATGCCCCGCATTTGTATAGAGTGCTTAAATCGCGATTCGTATTTAGGATCATAAATAACATTTTGTTTGACGCAGTCTCAAATATACCTAATGCATAACAAATAATCAAATTTAGAATGACCGTTTAAAATTAAAGAAGATATGAACCAATTGGCGGTGACCCGGGTCACCAACTAATATTAGAGCAAGATCTGAAATATTTATTAAATTTTAGCACCAGGTACTTCAGTATCATTTCTTGTTTGGACTGCGATCCTTCCACTGTTGGCTCAAATGAGCGACCCTCCTACGACATAACGACGAGCTGGCGGCACAGGTGGCTCGAGTCAGACTGCACCACGGAAGAAAAAAAAGCCTCGGAATCGACTTACTGCATTTGAGCGTGCTTGTGCCCTACTTGGCACTGGGAAAGTTGAGCAGTAAAACTCAAATCGTTGTCGTTAAAATATTTATCGATTCCTGCCGAGTATTTAACTTACTATCCGGATGAATCAGCATTCAGCGAGAATAAGGACGAGCCTAGTGACGCTAGCAAAGGTGCAAGAAGTACGAAGAGAAAAGTAGCTGTATGAGTGCAAGCAAAGCGACTAATTGGACGACCTCGGAAGCAACAAGCTCATACAACAAAATTCACATTTATCCTGCGCTTTCTGACACCCCGTCCACAAATACCAAGTAGCCTGCATATCGATGATTCGAATTCGGGCACTTCTAGCAGCACAGTGATGATAATGATCACGCAGTCGACGCCAATAGCAATAATTCAGTATCGGCAACCTCAGATATTGATGGCGACACCACATATTTTAGGAACGACATCATTTAGCTTAACTCGGACGTAGGATCGAAGCTGCAGTGCATCCAGAGCTGCAGCAAGGAAAGGATAGTCGGCATTGCCTGATTACAGAAACTTAAAAAATGCATATGTTTTATGACAAAATTGCTGAGTACCGGGTCATTGGTGTGACCCGGGTCACCGCCAACTGTTTCATACTAGCCGAGTGCCGCCGCTACGCGGCGGGTAAGAATGAATGTCGTTCCTTGTATTTTGCCTCCGTTCCGCTCGCCACGGGCTCGCTTCACTACTCGCACGGTAGGGTGGCAGATTGTGGCTCAGGCGGGCCCAAAGGCCCGCAGGGTTGCAGAAGGTGCCGATTTGGGCCGCCTCGCTGCGCCCGGCAGCTTTTAGGCCAATCGGGGCCACCTTCGCTGCGCTCGGCAGCCAGTAGGAATATTTAAATTATTTTATCCAATGATTTGTCCGGAAAAGCGTGACAGGCACGACTATTTAGTGTGACGGACAGACAGGTTGCTGCAGTAGATGTTTAAGATATATCAAAGTCTTAAAAGTAATATCGTACGACCCGCACAAGGCCACACAGGCCCAATCGTACGATCATACTTATTATTGCTACTGCTAGTACTACCTAGTATTTCCAGTGGAACTCACACCCAAGAAACATTCTCCACTTGATAGAGCTAAAAGAAGACATGACCGTTCTACAGCCAGTCCGTTTCGCAGCTTCTCCTGGCTAATCAGTTTTGAAACCCCATCGCCTTGCCAGGACGAGGTGCTCACGGCCCTTCATTCATCATATTTGCGCTCTAGCAATGACTCCTTACGTGCACTGTTAGCCAAGCCAAAATGTCGGAAACTGCAAACGTGTCACCATTTTCTAAAAGAGACCAGTTAATGAAATTAAAATAAAAGGAGTCGATCCCTGGATGGGTGGAGAAGGACTAGGACCTTGACGCTGGACCAACCGCAGCGCAAGCTGCTCGAGAGCCCCACGCCGAGCTCTTGAAAATCGACGGTCGTAAGCAAGCTTGGCTGCTCGAGCTTCCTGAAGTCGGCGGGCCTTGAGAGTCGGGTTATGCTGCTCCAGGCAGACTTGGCGACCGACATGCTGACAGAACTCGGGCAAGCGACTCGCTCGGACATCGTAGATAGATTAATAAACCTACTTACATCGATAACGTTTTGTTGTGTTTCTGCATCGTCTTGTAAAACGTCTTAATATGTGATCTAACCCTCAACTTCTTATTCCTAATTATACGTACTTACAAGTAGGTTAGTCAATCTACTTACTGATTCCATTTTGGATCCAACCTACTTGCTAAAGTTAATTCCTCTATTATTGTGCTTTGCAGATAGAATGTTCATCCGTTTTATACCCTAGACCCAGCCCTTCCATTCAAAACGCAGAAGCGCTTTAAGAAACGCCTTAGTTCACTGATACAGTCGTGCACCTCCAGTTCGGCACCGGTATCAGTCGATACCCTGCCAAATTTTATGATCACGCGAATCGGATGCGCAATTACCCTTGCCCATCACCACCCTAGCAATTAACCTCAACGGTTTTCCCCTCCTCGCGGAGGGATGACACGCCGCATCGATCTGATTTTAAATTTTGGATCGGACGTCTTCATACAAATACACACTTTGATTTTTACCGTAAAAGACAATGGGACATCGCCCTTCCTCCTACATGTCCCTAGCTCTAGCGAGAAGCACAAGTCAGATCCTGCATGCTTTCACTCCGAACTTGCTCGTTGGGCAACGGAGCGCTTTAAGACCACCCAAGCAGTAAAGCGCACTACCGTCCAGAGTATTCTTAAGCGGTCGGCGGACGTTGCCGCCTTGCCGGATGCCTATCGCGACCGGAAGCGCTGTTGCGCGCCGGCGATTCGCGCGTCTGACGCCAAGATTATGGAGAAGATTGAAGTATATTTTGTACTGAATTAACAAAACACATATCAGTGCACTGGATTTGCGTTCGTTTTTTGCTTTCCGTTGTGCACTTATGCCCTGGCACTGTTGATATGGTCCGCTCTGCCGAATTGGAGGTGCACGACTGTAGCAGATCACACGCTTTACTTTCACTATTTCGACCAATAAGATGCCTTCTTTGAGTCGTCGACATCTGGACTTACGTTTTCTCAAGTCAATTCATTCTATTCATAAATTTCACATAATTTTCGGGTAACCGATCGCTAATTTCGGCAAGCCATGGTTGCTCGAGCGGTCCGTACGGTTGGTTATGGTCATCCAAAACGCGATGACGAAGATGTTCGGACGGATACGGTTAGCTGGAAAAGTACGTTTGCGACCTCTGGAGCTTAACCAAATCGCTGTACTGCTTGCAGTGTAGTATACCTTCGAGGGAAAAGTCCGTCAGCGATGTTCTAGTCTCGTTCCGCTCCTAACTAAAGAGTGAGAAGGCATGCTCCACTGTTGCTGTATTCAGAAATGTACATCAGCACCAGCGCAAAAATCTGCAAAGGCAGGATACGTATCAGCAAAGGGGGCTCACGACTCGGTGACTTCACGATAGCTCTCTGTGTGTTTAATCTAAAATTATGCGAGTCGCTTAGCTTTTCATGAAAATCTTGTGGCGGTCGGTTAGCTCACGCTGCATGCCAGGCTTTTCTTCACGGCCAAATTGCGTGCAGAACTGACAGATAACGCTGGCAACTCTGCTACTTCCCCACGCGATGGTATCTTGAGCCATATTCAGCTCATGCCGTGTGGTAAATTCTGGAGGGCCGCTCTTCTTGGCTCGCGTTGGAATCGCAGCAATACTTGAGTAGGATATTTAGCAATGCTCCGACGCCTCTTCAGTCAGTGTCTTGCCTTAGAGCACTGCCACCGGTAAAGTCAAAGAATAGTGAAAATCGCGCTCTCTTTCTTGTCTAGGTTACCCTGGACGCAAGGACCATATATTCGTCCATGAATCTAGCTGAATTGTACAGCTGTCTGCAACCATGAAGTGCACAGCCTCCCAGGGTGTATTGTAGCGAGATAGCGTGCCAGCGATCAGATCGAAGATGCGTTAAGCCCCGAGGTCTTCCTCAATGTCGAGAGGGCAGGAGGGCAGACGTAGGAAGCAGCGAGAGAAGTAGTCCGTGCTGTCGTAGTACTCAGAGTCGTCCTGCTACTACTCTGATCGACATTGATTTTGTCGGGGATATTTTCACGCACGGGAAACCACTCAGCATCATCGTACGCTGGCTAGCTCATCTCTAGAAATGGGAAATATTAGTCTTTGCACCGAAGAGCGTATCAATTTGATGAAAGCATGGGCAACTTCCCTCTGCAAGACCCCCCCCCCCCCGCCGCCGCCATTCCATTCACGAACCTCGCTTTTGCGAGCTCAAAACTCGTCTGGTTATCGAGCTTGTACCGTGCCGTACGATAGCGACGGAATACGCAGTTCTATTGACTTTGGCACTGCTTTGCCTCCCACGCAGCGGCTAGCTTTGTGTAAATAAAATAGCTTTTTCAATGTTATCCGCGGTAGCAGTGTGTACAAACCCGGCCATTCTGCGAAACCCAGCGATCTTGGCCGTACCGCCACCATGCGTCATTTTCGTTCCATTTGTCGAGCTCCTAGCAATAATGTTAAAGATCGCAAGAATTTCCAGCCACGAGACCATAACATAAAATCAACGACCTCCGACAACCTCCGACCTGTACATAAATGGCGGCACATCTAAGTCAGTAACTCTTAAAATAAATATATTAAGTTTTATTTTTTAACTGTGGGCCACATTGAAAATGTATTCACAAATAAAAAGGAGGGGGGGGGCGGTCTCAGGGCGGTAGCAGTGCAGCGGTGGCAGGGTGGTGGCAGGGCGGCGGCAGAGCGGCAGGGCGGTGGCAGTGCGGCAGAGCGATGGCAGTGTGGCAGTGTGGCAGTGTCGTGGCGGTGGAAGTACGGCAGAGCGGTGGCAGGGCGGCGGCAGAGCGGCAGGGCGGTGGCGGTGGCAGTGCGGCAGAGCGATGGCAGTGCGGCTGTGCGGTGGCAGGGCGGCGGCTGAGCGGCAGGGCGGTGGCGGTAGCAGTACGGCAGAGCGGTGGCAGGGCGGCGGCAGAGCGGCAGAGCGGTGGCGGTGGCAGTGCGGAAGAGCGATTACAGTGTGGCTGTGCGGTGGCAGGGCGGCGGCAGTACGGCAGGGCGGTGGCGGTGGCAGTGCGGCAGAGCGGTGGCAGTACGGCATCAGAGCGGTGGCAGGGCGGCAGGGCGGTGCACAGGAGGCAGCGAGTCGATGTGCTCAAGAATAAATAAGGCAATACATGTACATTTAATTGACGCTTGCTACATAATGCTCTACGCAATATAAAAATAATGGATCTCCACGCAGGGATGTTGCATGTGTTGTTCCTAATGACGAGCAAGCTCCCTGTGGCGTTGCTACCCACCTCGTCTAAAATTTACTACTACATAATGGCATATTAATAATAAGTAAGATTTAAAACTAATGTGTGGTAATGATTGCACTGGTCGGAGAAGTCGGAGAAATGACTTTATGCATATGATATGCCTACATATTATAAAATTTGTAAGAGCATATCCATATTTCCTGAGTCCCCTCCGACCCGATATGTCGGAGCCAACTCCAACGAGGTTCAACCTAACTCTTACCATTTGGATTGGCCAAATCATCTTGTCAAGACCGTACGATTGGCTGTCTAATAGATAAAAATGGATGAGTGGTGATTAATACCAATACTAAAATTAAGTAGGGTCGGAGCGTTGATGATATTCATCCATAACATCTATTTATTACGGTATTCTGTGGGGTCCAGTACCTCTGTCGTCATCGCCTTGTTGGAAACGTGTAAGAGAGACGCGGCGCGGCTCCTCTGTCCCCCGACCACAGCCCCTTTTTCTGTCTCTGCTGCCTAAACGGTAGCAGAGACAGAAAAAGTCAGCGCTTAAAAATCCGAGCGTTGTAGCGCTAACAATTGCATATGAAGTGGTGAAGGGGGTATTCATATAGTCGACTGCCCCTCGCATAGGTTTAGCTTAGCAGCGTCCGACTATCTAAAGGACTATACCCTGCTATTGGCAAAGATCAACACTCAGATGACCAAGCTACAGACCATCAAGGGGCGTGTCATTCTTCGTCGCGTAACGGATTTGTCGTTTCTTCTACGAAACGACACTCGGTGGTCAAGTACCAATGCCCTGGTACAGAGCTATACGCAGCTAAAGACGGCTCTCAATTTTCTGGGGTATGGTACCCTAGTTGAGATCGGTATTCAGCCGCTCTTGCTGCGACGAGCCAAGTCGAAGCGAGTTCATGCGTTTCTTAAGGTGCTCAGCGATTTTGAGTGGATCGGTTAGACACTACAGCGCTCGAGCTAACACTGTCCCCGGCTGTTTGACCTCGTATGTCAGCGCTACCCACAGCCTAAATCTTGCCTCTCACCAACGGCTGCCATCGTCAATAACGTGCACCTTGAAAGTGGCACAATTAACTTTCGCCGAAAAGAATCTCTGGTTGCTGCTGAACACGTAGCCTGTGCTGAGTTCCGGCGTGCCGACCATGGAACGACGAAGGCAACGCCTTATTCGCAGCCTACATCGGAGCTTTCGTTGGTTCAGCAAGCGTTTAAGAGAAACAAGACTGCAAAACGCTCACGGTATACTGATGTATCGCTCGTTCCACCCACGTTCAATAAGTGTGGATGCTACTTCTCGTCGACCAAGCTCGTCTACTCGGACCTGCGGAGGCTACTGGATTCATCAGTATTAGAGACCTTTCGCCACCAGCAGTCGTCGTTCCACTTCAGACCTTCGTTCCAAAAGCTGATTTAGGAACGAGAGTCACAGCCGCCACGTAGGCACCCGACGGAATTCAACTTCTTCTGTGGGCGCGTAC